AGGTTTTCCTGTTTGCCAATACAAAAGGGACATTTTGGCATATTTTTTAAATTTAGTAGAAGTAATACTGTAGTATTTATATTACGTGATATAAAAATTAAAACTTGGGTGTTATGTACATGGCCAAGCAATTGTGGGTATTGTAAGATCTGTATCTTCAGCATTTAAGGGCATTTAAGGTATTAATTTAATTTAATTTAATTGTAGGATCAGTTTATCGTTATGACTTGCCTTTCTGTGACAACCAGTAAACTTTGCCAATAATCGTATGTATTTTTAATGAGGGTATATCCCAAGCTCTGCTTTTGAGTTTTGCTCTTTATTTATTTTTTTCAGTAAAGTGTGATCATAAAGACATTTTTGGTAAGAAAATGTGAAATGTGTTTTTCTTTAAAGAATGTAATGAAGTACTGGTACATAAAATGGAAGCCTACTAAGAGAAGATAAGCAGTTGTGTTACTGATCGTGAACTTAATGCGTCCTTTACTTTCCGTATTAGTATTGAGTAGTTCGTGATTCAGTATGGTGATGTTTTATTTTAAATAAGAGGTGGGGTTGAGGAAGCCATAAGAAGGTGAAGTCAGTCGCATTACTCTTAAGAGTTAGGAAACCTGAGTAGGTTGAGCCTCATTTGATAGTAAGCTGCAGTTTGACTGCTCACAGCAGTAACATAAATACAAGAGGTGTTGTCTAAAGCTGTCCTGGTGGGTCAGGGGAGTAGACACAGCAGACTTGGCAGTAAGCCTGGCTTCTAAAACAAAATCCAAGTCATCAAATTTGCCCAGGCATGCCATATGAGGTTCAAGTAACAGTGGAATTTAAGAGGAGTGAGTTTGTTCATGGAAGCTTTTAGGAGAGTCACAAGCAAGAGTAAGCATTTTAACAGCCATAATTTTAACTCAAACATAGTATGGATCTGCATATATTTTAGCATTTCTGGTAATGTTTATATAATTATAATATAGAGCTCTCACCTGCTTGCCTGAATTCAGTAAACTTTAGAAGAGAGGAACAATTGGGCCTATAAGATTTAAGTAGTATGGTCTCTGAACTTTCTTTCTTTAAATTACTACCTGAAATATAATAATTGGGACAGTTATCCTTTGTGTAAAGGAACTACATGTCCTTGAAAGCCAGAAAATCTCTGGTAGACAGGAGAAGTAATTTTGAAGGCTCTGTTTTCCTACAAAATGTAAAGTTTGAATATGTTTTATGTTACAGAACCAGGTGATAGTTTTAATTTTTTAAAATTTTCAGTGTCTTAAAATAATTTTTATATTTCTAAATTCTGTGGTAAAAATTAAAAAAAAAATTTTTTTATTTTTTTGGGAGAGAGAAAACCAGTGATGGGGAGGGGCAAAGAGAGAGAGAGAGAGAGAAGCAGACTCCCTGCAGAGCAGGAGGCTCCACGTGTGTGATGAGGGGCTTGATCCCAGGATCTGAGATCATGACCTGAGTGGAACGCAGCCACTTAACTGACTGAGACATACCCTCTGTGGTAAATTTTTATCAGCTTTGCTGTTTATTTTAATTAGAAAAAAGGATTAAATGAGCTTTGAAATTAATATTGAGTAATAACTTTTCAGTATTGCATCATATGAAAAAATATTTCTAAAAACATTTTTTCCATGAAGGTAATTAATCATTGGCCAGAACACATTAATGGGCAGTTTGTGAGTTGTACTTAAATGTAAATATGTTTTAGTATTGTTTTTAAAAAGTTGTTAAATTAAAAATGACAAGGAAAAAAATGATATTCAAAAGTTGTTGAAGCTAAGTGGATCTGGCTGGCTCCCTCAAAGAGCATGTGACTCTTGATCTTGGGGCTGTGAGTTCGAGCCCTACCTTGGGTGTAGAGATTACTGAAATAAATAAACAAACTTAAAAAAAAAATTGTTGGGGGTGCTTGGGTGGCTCACTGGTTAAGCGCTGCCTTTGGCTCATGTACATTATATGACAATCATGTAATAGCTCCTGTAATGGTCTCAGGGTCCTGGGATTGAGCAGAACCCAACTCCCCTCCCCAGCAGGGAGTCTTCCCTCTGCCCCTCTCCCTACTCTGCTCGTGCGCCTACATGCTCTCTCTCTCTCTAATAAATACATAAAATCTTTTAAAAAATTGTTGATATTAGATGTTAGCTATATGGGAATTTACTGTAATATTTTCTGTGTTTTTGTGTATGTTTTAAAATTTCCATAATAGAAAGTTTAAAAAAATGACATTGAGAAACTCTTCAAGTTCCTTAAGGTGTTAGATTAGGATAGGAAAAATGGTTTTGTTTTTATTTTTGTTTTTGTTTTAATTAGAGAGTGAGAGAGTGTGCATGCGAGCACACAAGCAGGGGGGTGGGAGAAGCAGACTCCTGGCTGAGCAGGGAGCCCGACGTGGGACTCAATTCCAGGACCCTACATCATGACCTGAGCCAAAGGCAGATGCTTAACTAACAGAGTCACCCAGTTGTCCCAGAAAAATGTTTTAAAATAGCACTCTGAGGAGTGCCTGGGTGGTTTAGTTAAGTGTCCAGAGCTCAGGTCTGGATCTGGGGTCCTGAGTTCAAGCCCTGCAATTAGGCTCCTTGCGAGGTGTGGAACCTGCTTAGAACAACAACAAAATAAAATAGCATTATGAAGTTAATAGGATTTGCTGTTGCATGTAATTAAAAAAAAAAAAAAACTGGTTTAGCTGGGCACCTGGTAGGTTCAGTTAGTGATCTCCCTTCTGGGATCAGGCTCAGAGCTCAGCAGGGAGTCTGCTTCTCTCCTTCTGCCCCTCTGCCCTGCATGCTCAGGCGCTCTCTCTCTCAAATAAGTAAATAAAAATCTTTAAAAAAATAAACAAAAACTGGTTTAGCAAATAAACAATATAAAAATCAGCTGTGATATGTCTGATTTACAAAACCCATTTCTCTCTTTAATTAGTATTAGTAGTGGTATGGTGAGGTGAGTTAGTGTACAGAAATAAACAGTGAACTGATCTTTTGGTGTGCTTTCAAGTAGATATTTTTTAGGAATAAGCATTGGATTCTTGGTTCCAGCTCAGGTCATGATCTCATGGGTGTGATCAAACGCTGGAGACCTGGATGTGTGCACCAGACTCTGCTCAGGGGGAGTCTGCTGGAAGATTCTCTCCCTCTACCCATCTCCCCACTCACACTCTCTCAAATAAATAAATAAATATTTTTTTAAAAGTAGGTATTTAAAAATTTTTTTAAAGATTTTATCCGTTTATTTAGAAAGTGCACAGAGGGTGGAGCCTGAGGAGGGGCTTGGTCCCATGATTCCAAGACCCATGACCCCAGTGGAAATGAAGAGTTGGAGGCCCAACCAACAAGCCATACAGGTGTCCTGGTATTTCTTAATTTTTAAAAAGTTTTCTAACATTTTAGGGGTTAGAAAAATACACTTATTGCTTAGTAATTTAGGGACTTGATGATATTATTATTATTATTATTATTTTTTTTTTAATGGAGGCTCAGCATCTGAGACAGAGCTTGAACTCAACGATTCTGAGATTGAGACCTGAGCTGAGATCATTCATTAGTCACTTAACTGACTGAGCCACCCAGGCTCCCTGGGCTTGAAATTATTTTTGCAAATATTAATGTTCTATATTGCTTATATCCATCAGTCTAATATTTATTAAATATTATCAGTTCTCTTGAACTTTTTAGATTTATGATGAAATAAAACTAGAGAAGTTAGTCTTTTTTTTTTTCCCCCCCTAAAGATTTATTTATTTATTTGACAGACTTGCAAGAGAGGGAACACAAGCAGGGTGAGTAGGAGAGGGAGAAGCAGGCTTCCCACTGAGCAGGAAACCTGATGTGGGGCTCAATCCCAGGACCCTGGGATCATGACCTGAGCCGAAGGCAGATGCTTACCAACTGAGCAACCCAGGTGCCCCAAAATTTGTTCTTAATTTTAAGATTAGGTTATTTTTTTTTTTAAGATTTTATTTACTTATTTGAGAGAGAGAGAGAGAGATTGAGAGAGCCAGTGGGAGGAGGAGGGGCAGAGGGAGAAGCAGACTCCCAGTGGAGCAGGGAGCCCGGTGTGGGACTTCATCCCAGGACCCTAGGATCATGACCTGAGCCGAAGGCAGTCGCTTTACTGACTGAGCCACCCAGATACCCTGTTTGTTTTTTAAAGTAGGCTCTCTACCCAGTGTGGAATCCACCTGGGTCTTGAATTAGGATTCTGAACTGAGATCAAGAGTCACAGATTTAACCAACTGAGCCACCCAGGCACCCCAAGACTAGGTTTTTAATCCTGGTATGTAATTTATAGTGATTAACTCACAAAAATAATTGACATGTAAAGTTTTTTGATTTGTGAACATTTCAGAGCAAACAAGGTCTACGCCTTGACATTTGTGAGATCATATTGAATACTAAAGGAATATAAGTATTAAACTTGTCCTTTATAAATGGAAAGCCTTTGGGGAAAATACAGGAAGTTTCATCTAAATGTTATTTCCTCATTTTTTATTGCAATATACAAGTTTTAAGGAAACCTTGTATTTCCTCTGCTATTAATACTACTTCATGGTTTTCACCTCCTTTCAGTAAAGGATTTCAATAAAAATGACATTCAGGAAAAAAATGACATTCAGAAATTGTTGAAGCTAAATGATATATGAGGACTTCGTATTATTCTATCCTCTATGTTTGAAAACTTCATAATACAAAGTTTTGAAACTTTTTTGACCATAATGCAAAAAAAGTAAGAAATGCATTTTATGTTTCAACCTAGCACAGGCATATGTGTTTATACACAGAAAACTGAGATAGAAGTTTCAGTTAAAGCAGTATTTACATCTATTCTGTGACATAATCTTGACATTTTTTTTCCATTATATTAAAAAATTGTTCAGACCTTCAGTTTGAAAAACAGAGTTTTAGGAAATGGTTTCATAATACTGATTATATTAAAAACTGTTAGGTCATAGAGATGTTCTTGTTATTCAGGCCATATTTCCTTATGTCTTTAGTCTTTAATACATTTTTTAAAATTATTTTTTATTGGATTACTTTATTGCTATCTTTTATTGGGTTACTTGGTTGCTAAATTTTCTCGGTTCCTGAAAATGAGTTTATCTCCTCTTTTTCTCTGCTTTGTGACCCAACTCAAATCTTGGTCACCTCCTGTTTAGATTTATGAAATTTTCTCTTCAAATTTTATTCCCCCCAAATCAGTTTTGAACGTCACAGCCAAGTGGATCTTTGATTCTTGCTCCTTGATTCTATACCCTGTCTCCTCACTGGTCTTTCTCATTATGCTCTACCTATTTAATAATCCTCACTATGTTAGTAACAAGTTTATCGTCTTTAATTTTATTCATCTTTTTTCAGTGTCAGTTTGAAACCTTTTGCTCTACCTGAACTGCCTCTGCCTATCATATGGCCTTTCATAGTTTTTCTCTTCTGTGAGTCAGTTTATAAACACTATTTTGAGGTACTGCCGAGCTAGGTTTAGGTTTGTTATGGTTGTGTGACATTGCTAAAAATCACAGAATAGTTTTTGGCTAATAATCCTTTCATTTTATAATAGAGGATATTGAGGTTCAAGTTTATTTGCCAAGGGTCATTTAACCAGTTAGTTGCAAACAAAGACCCAGGACCTCTGACTCCTATTCCTTTGTTCTCTAAAAAGTAGCTTGATTTCTTCTTGAAAATTGTAGAGTTGTTTTTGCACAGCTTATAATTTTGATTGTTCTTGTAACTGTTCCTTTTTGTATTTGTGTTCTATTAGGTTTATAGACCTGTTTCTGTTCTATTAAATAAATAATTTAATTGAATACCTGTTATGTGTAAGGTATTTTTATGTATATTATCCTTAAGTTTTATGATAATGATTACTTCCTTTTTTTTTTTTTTAAAGATTTATTTGTTTTAGAGGGAGAGAAAGCGAGCTAGCAAGGGGTGGGTAGGTGGGCAGAAGAAGAGGGAGAGAGAGAACCTCAAGCAGACTCCCCGCTGAGCAGGATCCCACAACCCTGAGATCCTAACCCCAGCCTAAACCAAGAGCCAGATGCTTAACTGACTGAGCCACCCAGGTGCCCTTGTTTTATTAGTTCTGTTTTATACCTGAAGAAACAAATGTCGGGTTTTGACCATCTATAAAGTGGAAGATAGGGCATTTGAACCCTGATTTTGTTTATGTTGTTTTTGTTTTGTTTTATAGTAATCTCTACACCCAGCTTGGGCTCGGACTTACAACCTGAGATCAAGAGTCATATATTCTACCGACTGAGCCAGCCAGGCACCCAGGCCCTGTTTTTTTGTTTGTGTGTTTGTTTGTTTTGTTTTGTTTTGTTTTGTTTTGTTTTGTTTTGTTTTAGGCTCTTTCTACTATGTCTCTTGCCTCTCAGAAAGAGTTTAAGTACAGATATATTCAGGTTTTCCTTTTGTGAAACCAAGACTCATGATGAGCACATGGAATCAAAATATATGTGAGTTACTTGTGTGTTCCTGTGACTAGATTTTCTGTTTTTGGCTCAGAATGGCTGCTTGAGGGGTGATGCTTCTGCTCTTGCCTGTTCTAGAAATTTTTAAATGGTAGCAGTATTATAGCCAGGCCAATAGAAGGTACTGCACAGCTAACTGTACTAGGCCCGAATTTAGATGTTAGGCCTCTTTTCTTTGCTTCTTTGTGGATCTGGAGTTCCAGAGGTCATGCTGTTCTAGGTTTTCAGTAATGAGGCCTTGGCCTTTCTCTTTGACAAGTCACTCCCATGTTGTCTTGGTTAGGGTCTGGTGTGTGACCTTTGTAGGCTATTTTGCACTTATGATTTAAAATTTAAAGCATTTTTTGACTTGTCAGAATTGCTCTAAACCTAAATGAGGGAAAAGTTAAGAATTTAAAAAATGTGAAATTACTAGATAGGGGAGTTTTTTGTTGTTTGTTTTAAGTTAACATTTGCTTTCATATGTTCCAAAAGAAATGTATGTACTATTTATTTCTTTGGTTGAATTTTTTAAATTTTTATTTGTTTAAAGATTTTATTTACTTGACACACACAGAGAGAGCAAGCACAAGCAGAAAGAGCGGCAGGCAGCACTAAGCAAGGAGCCCTATGCGGGGCTTGATCCAAGGACCCTGGGATCATGACCTGAACCGAAGGCGGGTGCTTAACTGACTGAGCCACCCGGGTGCCCCTCTTTGGTTGAATTTAGATCTCAAGTAAAATTGATTTATGTCTATAGCTGATTAACACTGATGCAGTTTTTTTCTTGGATATTTTGGTCAGTTTGCTATCTGTTACCTACTCTTATCTCTCAAGATCAGTACTGCCATTTGGGCTTCTCTTTGTGTGCTACTTACTTCTTTTACACATACCCAGTTGTCTTTGAGCTTTACCAGAACTCTCCTTTTCAGCGCAAAGGCAAGAAAACTCTTTTGTTAGATTATCTAATAAATGTTGGCTCATTGCTATTTTTGAAACTTCATTGACTTTTTGTCATCTGATCGCTATTTGAAAGAAATAGTAATACTTGAAATTTTCTAGTTTAAACATATACAAAGTAGTTATATTTGGGGTTGATATATTTGGTAGGGGGAGGGAAAGAGATACAAACACGGCTACCCTTGGCTATTTTCTTTTTAAGAGCGAGGAAGAACTGTTCCAGAAGCCTACAGCAAACTTACTCTTTCATTTCATTGACCAAAATTGGGTTACATTCCCTTTCCTAAATTAGCCACTGGTAAAGACTGAGGGAATTATTCTTAGCCAGCCAGGCCCATCCCTTGGCCTGAGGATGTGGGTGACTTCCCCTGAAGCATATGGGTGCATGAGAGAAGAATAGATAGATAGGTGTGTGGAAAAAATGTATTAGGGAGGAAGGAGAGGATTGAGGAGTGGGGAGGAGAGTGTCCACCAAAAGAATCCTCTGTGCTTACTATCCACAGTTTGTTAGCAGTTGAGGAACTTTAAAATGTAAATGCAACTTTTATTATGCAGTTACTTTTTTTTGCTTTATCTTGCTATATCAGAGTTCTTGGGATATGGGAGCTTATGTAAATACAGAGAAAGACTGAAGTATGGCTAATAGGTTTCTGTGAATGGTGTATGGGCTATTTGGGACAGTGAATTCATGTTCCTTCCATGGTTCAAGTGGAATCAGAGGGCCATGCATGCATAGGGAAGCATGAAGACAGTCATCTAGTTAAGCCAATCCTGATTTTTCAAAATAGCATTACATGTTTTATTTTATTCTTTGTCTTTAAGGCTAGCCTGAAAGGAACCTAGAATTTGTTAAATGGTAAGATAGAAGGATATGTATGCACTGGGAAGAGTAGGTTAAAAACTAGATAGGACTTTGTATGAAATCTTAGAGTAAATGAGAGGGAGGGGAACTCAAAATCATTAGCTGAATAAATGAACAAAATCATTCAATTTTTTTTTTAAAGGTTTATATATTTGAGAGAAAGAGCATGAGAGGGGAGAGGTCAGAGGGAGAAGCAGACTCCCCACTGAGCAGGGAGCCCAACATGGGACTCCGTCCCGGGACTCCAGGATCATGACCTGAGCCGAAGGCAGTTGCTTAACCAACTGAGCCACTCAGGTGCCCCCGAAACCATTCAGTCTTTTAATAAAATTTATTATATCAATATTATATGTGAATACAGTTCAGTTTATTGGAGTGGACATGTAAATAAATGAAGCAATATCTATGTAATACAGTTACAGAGAAGGCCCTCTGAATGCATAAATGACAACTTTGAGAGGTCAGAGAAGAGGTTACAGAGAAGAGGTTACTGGAGCTGAATCCAGTAGAATGAGTTTCCTAGATAGACAAAGGAAGAAGTATATTTTAGATTCATTGATGACTACATCCAAAGACCCAAGTTAGAGAGTTCTTTAATTTGGAAAGGTTGCAGATCAGGCTCTAGTATCCAGATTTGGACGGAGAAGGAGAATCTATTTGGTCATAGTGAGGAATTTGAATTTTAGAATGAAGATTGTAGGGAGCCATTGAAGGATTTGAAGCTGAGGAAGGACACCAAATCTGTGGCTTAGATCACTAAGCTAAGTTGGATCATGGATTAAGACAGGAATTGGGGGAGTGGGGCTGGGTGGGTAGGGGCAGCCAATGTATCTGAGAAATGATAAGAGCAGAGGAGTAGAGATGGCAAGGTGGGAATAAAGCTGAGATAGATTTAGGGGAAAGAAATCAATAGGACCTGTTGTCAGTTGAGTAAAGAGAAGAAGGAGGCTAGAATTATTTCTTCTTTTCTAGTTCAGGTCAGTTGTGATAGGAGAAGCAGCATATTTGGAGGTAGGGAGAGGGAAAGTTGATTCAGATATTAATTGTTTAATAAAATGTTTCAAACATTATTAAAAATTTGGGAGACTTATATACCAATTTACCAGAGTGATAAGGTGTGGAGAGGAGACTAAACAAAGTAAAAGGAGAGTTTGGACTTCTGGGAAGGAGTAGTTAGTTATAGGAAGGTGACTAGGAAATGTATGGTAAATAAGGGCTGTTTAGTAAGATTTGTTGTGCAGATAAGAGTACTTCTCCTCCGCGTACTGAAGAGGGAGAACACTTTACAATGGAAATTTATGTCCCCTTTATGAAAGAAAAATTTATGCCCTGCTTAAAAAGAGAGCAGGGTTCTTCCTGTGTCTGCTGTGTTTTAATTGCCTTCAGCTCAAATAATCCTTATGCCAAAGTGGCATATTTTGGGGTGGTATTTTCTGATCTCCTTCAGTAATAAACAGTACTTATTTAAAGTGTACAGTCTGGGACGGCTGGGTGGCTCAGTCAGCTATAAACGTCTGCCTGCCTTTGTTCAGGTCAGGTTGGATGAGTCCTGCAACAAGCTCCCTGCTCAGCAGGGAGCCAGCTTCTCCCTCCGCCTCCTGTTCCCCCTACTTATGCACTCTCTTATCTCTGACAAATAAATAAAATCTTTTTAAAAAATGTATAGTCGGATAAGTTTTTTTTTAAGGTTTTATTATTTATTTTTTTAGAGAGAGTGTGAGCTGTGGGGGTGGGGAGGAGCAGAGGGAGGGGAATGAGCAGACTCTGTGCTGAGCGTGGAGCTCAATGCCAGGATGCCAGGCTTGATCC